TCTTTTCTTTTCTTTTCTTTTCTTTTCTTTTCTTTTCTTTTCTTTTCTTTTCTTTTCTTTTCTTTTCTTCCACCTCTCCCAGCATGATAGACTTTCCCAGAGAGTTAGGTTTTTGCACTGTATGTCTGAAGTAGGATGATGTGAGCCTGGGTTGATTTGTTCAATGATCCATTTGTTTGTTCTCTTGGCTATCCTTGGTTTCTCAGTCTTCTCCTGAGTACCAACTTTAATATACAAAAACATCTGTGAAGCAGTGATAAGCTTTTGGGCTGGATGGCCATGGTCTAGCCTTCTTTTGTTTTGACATTTCACCAGCACCTGTGGCTGGCATCTTCAAAGGCAGAGTAAGCTGCTTTGTGGTGTACCTCTCAACAGCTCACAGGCAACTGAACTGGGCTGAACTGTCTCTTGTTTTTGAACCTGGCAAGATGATCAGGACTTATATAAATACAATTCAGATATTGTGCTAAGCTATTGTATGGTTGCTTTGCTTTTGATTTACATGTTGCACAGTCCTAACTGTTGTGGTAGGTAAATCATGATTTCTGGAAAGTGTATCATGTGAACCCAAACAAATTTTGTTTGTTCTTTAAATAAGCCAAACACTAAATTAGCAATGGTATGTGAGCCCAACTAGAGTCAGATGCATTACTGTTTACTCTCAGCCAGAAACATCTGTGTAGATGTAAAAAAGGGTGAGGCATCAATCGTGCTGTCACAGCTGCTATCTTCACTTTTTTTTAACTCCCTTCCCTGTAGGCACTCCTGCTCTTAGCTGACTGGTTGACAGAATTCTAATTCTTTCAAGGAGTTGCCTCATTTAATCTTAGTACCTTGTCTGCAAACACTTGATTCTTTAAACAGAGCACTGAATGACATCAGTGCAACACCAGCACTTCATAACCTGTGAGTTTGGACTGGCACACATCTGTTTACTTGCTTGTTGGCATTGATATTAGCTCTACTCCTGTAAACATTTATTTAGAAGTACATTTAACTGGATTCAGAAGAGACATTTCAATTAACATGCATCGACTTGGGTTGAATGCTTCATAGCCATAAGCCATTACAGAAGGCATCCATTGGTTCATAATTAATAGTAAATCATCAAACTGAACAAAAACAATATTCATATGACATATATTTGACTATAAAAACCTATTTTTTAAAAGTCTATAAACTGTAGGCCATCCTTTTGTATACATGCAAATTTAACAAATTGCTCTGTAGCAAAACTATCTCTATTCTTTAATAAAAATGGTTAATCAATTCTGAATCTGTTCCTGAAAATATTTCATCGCTAACCCTGGGCCTGATATGAACGGTATTTTGTTAAATAATGGTAACCTAATATGTTACTATTCTCTGCATGTCCACCCTTCACAAATCATCACTTTAGTTATCCTTAGTTGTTGTTATTTTTCCTTGCGTTAATCACTTAAATGCCATTAGAAACACTACTTGGCTAAAGTCAGCCGTTCATCATTTAGCAACTTCTTTGTTGTCTGTTTTTGATTTAATAATACTGTTCTTACCAGGTTTGCTCCATGCACAGATCCCCTGCTTTTTCAGGATTGCCTCTGTTCAGTCTCATTCAGAATACTTTTCCAAAACAACGAGTGTGTGTGTATGTATGTGTCCTTTCTTTTCCACTTCAGAAATAGAAAATCTCTGGTGCCCTGGATCAGACTGACCTATTTGTTGTTTGAAAATTTTACTCAGTAATTTGTTTCCAAAGGAACACAATCTTTGCCAACCCCCACATTTCTGAATAATCAGTAATGTGAAAACTTAATTTACGTGCAAGACTAATCAATATGATTTTTGTTTATATTCCATTGAAGTCACTTCCAATCAATAAAACAAATCAAGGTAGATTAAAATCTATAAAATAACAATAAAAACAACAAATAGATAATGGAAGCATACTGGAAAGTGAAACTCTCTTGCTAAATTAGGGAAGAGCCATGAGAAAAGGCAGCCAGTAAAAGTGTTCAAATTGGATTTATGAGCCGCAGTAACAAAATTACTGAGAGAGAAAAAAAATGTTCTAAACTTTGATGATCTCTTTGGGGAAGAGAAAGGCTGTAGAACTGCACTTAAGAACACAGTTCTGAATGCTTTTATTGGAAATACAATTAAAATGTTTACATATTCTCTGTTAATTTTTTTTCAACTCTATCTTTCATTATTTTCCATTTAGCCTTCTGACATGGTGTTAAAGAATCATTGCTTCTTTATTACAAAGCAGAGAAATAACTCCTGAGCGTAGAATAACAAAGCCATTTAGATGCACCAAATGCTATTATTATAAATGATTAGAGGCTGTCAATTTCTATTGTTTTCTTCTATTCCCTTCCCTCTCAACCTTCTGCATCTGCAGGTACTTCATAGACTGGAAGAATGATATGGATAGCTACTTTACTATAGATGGAAATGAAGGAACTATTGCCACAAATGAGTTACTTGATAGAGAGAATACTGCACAGTACAATTTTTCAATAATTGCAAGTAAAGTTAGTAAGTACAATAGATATGGGATAGATGTCATTCTAGAACTGTCTTTGTTATATTGTTTGATAATTTTGGTGAAATAATTTGGCAAAATGTCTGTCTTTTTTATGTTCTCTTATGAAATAGAGCATGTCATGACACTCGGTTCAGCAGATTTCCTATGTTTTTGGCAGACTCCTGAGGATCTTTTAGGGATCAACTTCAAGAAATCTATACTTTTTGTCAGTAATTAGCCTCATTCACCATGATTCCATTCCTAGAGCTCTCAGCCCTGAGAAAAGTCAGCTTGTTTTTTCCAATAAGCAGCTTTAAAAAAAATGGGCATGACTCTTCTTCCTCTTGGTGTGGGGCATAAAAGATGAGATCACTATTAGTTTTAGTGCAGCTCTGAAATTTCATTCAGCTGCATCATATCCAGTGCCCTGTAGCTTGTCTATAATTTGGATTGATGTGTACCTCATATTTACCACCTGGCTCCATGTATATAAGTTATTCCTTCTCTGAGAACAATTAAGACCTCTAGTTGTCGGTGTAAAGTAACATATGAAGTTCCAATTTCAGGTAATGAGTGGGCAGGGATAGTGCAGTGTACTTGTTGGTTACAAATCTAGTCAAAGGACAATTGTAGAAGAACTCAATAAGCATCAAGTGTTTTATCCTATTGCTCACTAGAGGCATTAGAAGTAGAGAAGCAAACAACAGACCACCTCTTTATCTATGTCTTTATTTCTGTTCTGTTTCCCCTAATTGGAAGGCTCTTAGACTCTCTTTCAACCTGCTTCCTACAGGGAGATTAGATCTCTCTTTTCTCTTTTGCTCAACCATGAACACAGAAAACTTGGACATGCAGGTTTTGTATCAGGGCATGTAACTTCATTCATACATTTTAAAAGAGTTTAATTCTATTCAGACACATATGACGTGTTTAACAGAAACCCTAGAGAATGAACTGAAGGATTATTCTTACAGAGATTGCAAAAGTTCTATTGCATCACAAGGGAATGCACTCCCATATGGGCAATTACATGATCAGAGGGAGGTGGGCTTTACAATGAACGAAGAATGCATTCTACAGTTGCTTTCCTTTCAGACTAGTGGTTCAATCCATTGCTTTCCAGCTCTGCATAAAGATATCCCTCTTAATTGCAACATTATGAGTCACCAGCTGTTTGTCTCCAATCATATTTTTAATAACTATAAAGGTCTCTTTTTCTTTGTTTGATTATTATGTTTAATTAAGTTTCAATAGTTTTTGTGGGTTGGGGGAAGGGTATGTGTCTCTACAGTTTAATGATGGCTCAGAAACAAGCAGGCTTCCAAGAATAACTTTCCAAGAGAGTTCAGTGTCCTTGCAAGCTTGTATAATTACTGATTAGACATTCTGGGTACAGCACTGCAAAAATTAATCATAACTAAATACACTGAAAATGCATCATGGTTATGATTAATAAAGCCCATTGGTGTCAGTGGGATTTGTTTTGAGTCTATTTTGCTGGAATCTGCCTATTATAATTTTTAAAGTATTACAAACACATTTAAGTAAATGGAAATCTAATTCAAAATGTCTTGATGGAGGCTCTAGTTTCATTTCTGTCTGAATCCCATTGATAGAAAACATTGATAGAAAATCCATGTTCCATGTATATTTTTTCTCTCTATTCATCAAATACTCAGTTCTGCATCATACTATAATATTATTTTGCTGTTCAATAAAGGAAAACGTATGCACTCATCATGAATCAGCTAAAAGTGTACTCAGCATGATTGGTGGGGGGGAAAACTACTTTGTCTTCCTTGTTTATGTCATTTTACTTGTATTTTAAAAGTTGACTATTCAAATTAACATTTAAATCTTAATAATTTGAAGACAAGAAATGTTAAACAAGCCTACTATTGACTGATATCTGCCAACAAGCATCCCTGTACAAAGCCTGACAAAAAAATCAGGGTCTCTTTTTTCCTTCTCAAAATCTTTTTTGGTTATTTTCCACCCAGTTTCAAAATATCTGGAGGTATGACATGTCTATGTAAAACTGAGTAGTTTCTGTTTCGAGCATTTTAAACATTACATTTAAATCCTAATTCCATTTATACAAGGTTTGTATAAATCAGGGCTGCATGCAGTCCTCAAAAGCTTTGATGATGAGAAATAGAGGAAAATTAGTAAATATATTGGGAATAATCATATGAATTTATTTAAATCAAATTAATGAAATACATGTATATAAAATTTCATTTCATTTTTGGCCTGGCCCAATCTATCTGTTGGAGTGCTTGACATCCTTGACATCCTTCATTTTACCTTAACACCACATTACACCTAATTGTAACCCATGTATGAGCACCTGGAGACACTGAACCTGTGGTCAGGCAATATTCCTGCAGTAATACCCAGAGCAGGTATTAAACCATTACTCTGATGTTTATAGACGTACCATAACTCCAGCTAAAGCTGGGTAGCTCATCCAAGGTCATTTTTCCCCATCAAAACCATAACAGCCTCCAGACACTATTACACATCTACAGCATCTCTAGTTTCAACTGAGTGGACATGTAAATCAGACTGTCATCAGAATACTGGGGCAAAGGATGAAACTTCCACACCCTCCATCATTTATCACATCCCCAGGTCCAGCAGCACACACCCTGCCTGGCCACTTGAAGAAGCCAGGAGAGATATGGATCTAGCTCACTCATGGCAGACCAGCTGTCAAGTATGCTATCTACTTTTTCAGAGTCCACAAGCTCAAAATAATCCTGGTTGAAATGCAACCAGGTTGCCTCATTCACCTCACTTGTCTCTGTCCAACAGGCATCCTGTGAAGAAGAAATGTATTTGTTTTCTTGCTTAGTTTGATATGTTCTCATTTGAGTTTGGTCATGTCATCAGGATTGGTACAATTTCTTGGAAAACTAGACCAAAATCATATAAAGATTATAGGTTTATATTTCAGGTATTCGTTTTTAGAACTAATGTGTAGCTGAATTGCCTCCAGAATATAAGATCTGCACAAGATGAGTTTTCTGTTTGTGGAAAAGTATATGTGTGCCATGCATAGGCTTGTTATCCACAAAATGTGATGGCAGTTTGCCTAGGTCCTGTGTGTATATGGTTGCTTAAACCTAGATCCCTGGTTATTTGTGGTAGTCTACACAGGGAAGAACGACTATACGTACGAATTGTATATTGTAAATGTTTACTCATTTCCTGCAGAACAAATAATAAGTGCTTTCTAATATGTATGACAAATTATATAGCTGAGTCTTCTGTGCAGTCATTATATCATTATTAGGCACAGTCCATTTTGTATGAGAGATTTACCCAATCAGTCTAAAATGGCATATCAAGAAAGATGGGCAGTTCTATTTTTCATTGCCTTATGTAATATAATATTGCCTAGGATAGTACCAATATTTCATTGCCTGTTTTAAAATTCTTTTCCTAATAGGCAATCCACTCTTGACCAGCAAAGTTAATGTCATCATAAATGTTCTGGATGTCAATGAATTTCCTCCAGAAATTGCAGTGCCCTATGAATCTTATGTGTGTGAAAATGCAAGGCCAGGACAGGTACATTATTCTTTTTCTATAATAGACATGCAGTCAATTGTGTGTGGATATAATCATATATAATGGCTAACAAACTACAAAAACTAACTTAAGAGAGCCTCCTTGAGCTTCTATCATCCACTGTTTTATTTATATGCATATTAATCACTAGTCGTTGCAGCCTAATAATTTGTTTGGAAGTCTACTCATGGCTCAGTGACAAAGAAGCGATGATATGCATTGTCCTGAGGGGTTACATTGGTTTCTCTTGGAAAATGGATATTTTGCCCATGGGCAAAACGTATCATGGCAACCATTTTATGTGAACATTTAGCATGTGCTCTCAACATTTCAAACATGCCCACCAATCCAAAAAAAGTTGCCTACTCCTGATTTGTCACAACTCTGAAAAGCAGGTCAGTTTCATTAATCCTATGTTGCATACTGACAGCTGAGGCTAAGTGTATAATTGTTTATCTATGTTCACGTAATAACTTTCCAGTAGAACTGGGAGCAACAAAAGCAAAGCAGAAATCTTCTGGAGAGACGTTATATCCATTGAAGGCCAGAGAAACAGCGCTTCAATTTTTAATTTTTATTTTGGCTCAACTTCATGTTTAGTTTCTTGTGCTCCTTGCAGGGAAATCCATGATCTGGAACCCAGTGCAGAAGAGGCTGTCTTTTATGTATATAGCTAATTCGGTTCTCTTGAAGGAGAGGGCAAATTATCATATACTTGATGAAGACTGCAAATTATGGGCAGTCTATGCAAGAAGAAGACATTCAGATATCCTGGCTGCATGATACTTGGGGCTTTATAGACAAAAAAAAAAAAAAAAGGATATTCCTTTGGGCTCAAAAGCAAATAGAATTATTTCAAAACTGATGCATATAAACCACATGCCAGCGATCATTCTGACCACTATGATATGCACTAGCTGATAAATCCATATAGAACATGTTAAAGTGCTCTAAAGTAGTTAAGACACAGCAGATCTGCAACTAGATCTCCCTTGCCCAAGAGGAAGCTCAGATGGCTGACTAGCAAAGCTGAACAAAGGCAACATTGGTTACAGTAGCCATTTAATCCTGTAAAAGCAGTATTTTATCAAAGAGGATTCCTGTCTTATCCTTCAGAAATGGTAAAATTTGATCCAGGTTAGGCTATACCCAAGATCCTAAACTGGCATAGATTCTGATGAAACTAACCTTATCTGGATTTGGAGCCTTAGTTTATCAGTTCAGAACTACTCTGTTATTGCATCCAGATTTCCATAGATAACAGGCATCAGGAGAAAAGGTAAGTTAGAGCTGAATGTCTTCAGTATAGTGATGAAAGCCAGCCCAAGAATTTCAGGTAGCTCCCCAAAATAGCTACACGTAGATAGAACCTCAAAATTTAGCCAAGAAAAAATGGAACTCTCATAAATGGTACCTCAATTCCCATACCAGCCCAAAAATGCAATGAGTGATACTACAGACAATCACTGAAAGTTCGAGAAGAATCGTAAATGATGCACTCCTACTTTTTGAATTCTTAATGTAGGTAATCAACAGCAAGGTGACTAAGCCTATTTCTGTCTTCAAATGAGGCTTTAATCCACATTTAACAGAGTAAAAAAAAAAAAAATGAGAATGCCTTGAGTTCTTTTTTCACTCAGGACACTAAGATGTGACTTTAAAAAGAAAAATAGAAACTGTTGATGACATCAAGCAAAGGTTTACTTTCTTAATTTTAACTTCCTTTTAGGGAAAATAATAATTTATTTCATAGAAATGTTAACAGCCTTCATGATCCAAAAAGCCATAGACATGTTGGCTAGACTCAAATCTTTATACTCTCCTCCAAGCAACTTGATCATTTCCTAGTTAAAAGCTCATAGTACTATTCATCGTGCCCTAATCTATCCTGTATTTTTTCATCATGTGTGCATTGCATACTGTTTGACCTACCAAGCCAAAGATACTCCACCTACTGTGTATGGTGACCCATCAAAAACTTAATAACTGTTCTTTTTAATGCATACCTGAGAATGCAAAAATAGAGTGCATCAATCACCTTTACATGGTAACATATGGGTGGCAAACCACATTTTGGCATGGGGATCAAAGTTGTTCAAACTTGTAAAAGATTATTTTTTTAACTTTAATGGAGAATTCACTCATTGTTCAGCAAATTAACAGTTATTCTTCAAAAGATATGTTCAGCTACCATACAATGAGCCTTCGGGGTACCCCTAAACTTAGTTAGTGTGAGTGTAAGTTGCTTACCTGAGAATAAAACCTATAAAAAACTATAGTTACCTTGTCAGGTTAGGAAAAATGTTAGACTGAAATATACTCAGAGGTGACACAGACAACACACTTTAGCCTGTTAAAGTCCATAAAATAGTCCTTTTTTATAAGCTTTGCAGAATCAAATGTTCCAAGGTCCCACAGGCTCTAATACTTTTCTCTTGTACAAAACCATTGCCCAAAGGACACAAGACAGTCTCCTCTGTATAGACCATAGTTTCTTTTAAAACACTGTTTCTGGAAACTGCTTGTATGGCATTTGTCCCTTTTATGACATTTGTTCCTATGAAATGCGTAGAGCATAGATATGCAGGAGCAAATGTCCAAAACAATAAAAAGGATGGCATCATAACGGAATATTGCCAGTCCCGGTTGAAGGATGCTGACATTATTGCCATCCCATCTCTGCTCTTATCTGAGAGCTGATGTGGTAGGAAGGTCTTTTATCACATCACTAATGACTTGGAAGCCTACAGGTTTTGCTACCAAAGCATTCACAAAGGTTATGAGAGATGGACATCCATCCTCAGCACATGAATTTCATGCCACCTAGCCATGCTCCAGCCAAGTGTTAGCTATTTCAGGAATTCATTCCCTTGGATGATTTCTCTATATAAAGGAAGAGCTGTTAATACTCATGTGCAACTTTGTTTTATTGTTAGAGATGGAGCATATTGTACAGTCAAGTACTGTGAGATGGGCAGCTGTATGTATGTATGTATGTATGTATGTATGTATGTATTTATACATCACGTTTATATAGCTGCCCATCTCACAAAGTGACTACACACACACGTGCACACATACACACACACACACATATGCTAAATAAATACTGTATTGTTTATTGTTGGCCTACATTGGCTGGACTTACCCAGCTTGCTAAAATAACCCCATTTTGGCTTAGTGTTAATATCTCAATCTCTATTTCTATTGCATTATCTAACTATCAGATTAAGATGTTATTTTCAAACAAAGTTACATATTCAATTTTTATTCCATTGTGGTTTTAGGTAATTCAGGTTGTTGGTGCAGCAGACAAGGATTTGTCCCCTGCTGGACAAAAATTCTCTTTTCGACTGTCTCCTGAGGTTACTACAAAGCCAAATTTCACAGTCCATGATTTCACAAGTAAGATGGGTTATACTTCAAACAAATATAGGACCAGTTTGTTCTGTCACTCTCATGCCTACCACTTTATATTTATGTATGTGAGGGTGATTTATTTCAAAGTATAATTGTTTCTTAGATGCTGAGCAAAAGAAGAAGAGTTGTTTTATATAAATGAAATGCTTTATAGGATGAATTCAATTCTAGTTAATGTTTATAAAGTTAGTAATGATTTCCCCTGTCCTATGAGAAGCTGTAGGCTAACATGTGTGATACGCTGTTGGGTATGACAACAGTCTTTTTCAGGAAGGGAGACAATTGTGGCAATTTCCCTGGGTGTCACACAATGGAATAGGCTGCAGGAATAACCATGAGGAGCAGAAAGAAGAACCACAACCAAGATAATGGTCAGATAAAAGAAATTTGAGTCTGAGGCAGAAATGGAATTTGAGAATGCATCTCAGGCTTGACCCTCCATAGTTCTCTTGAAGATGGAGGGAGCAGGGAGACACATTCAGACTTGCAAGATTCTGTTACTGTAACCTTATAATAAAAGTAGTATTATCATTCATAACTTTGGTTTCCTAGTCTGGTTTCCCTTGAAGGGCTGACATATATGGAAGAGGCCCCATTCATAGTACCGTTCTATATTTGAAAGGATCAGACAGATCAGTCTTTTTTTTTTTTTTAATTCTAGGCTTTCTAGGCAATAAAACTAACATGTTCACGTTAATTATTTTAGTACTATGAGTTTTAAAATACTTCTGTTTCTTGAACCTTTGGCTTCAATTGACACAACAAAAATGGACATGGGGTACAGTGAGAAGAAAGTCAGGAAGAGAATTCAAATCAGTTCTGTCCCTTGACTTCTCAGAGTCTTCAAAAAGACCATAACTCATGTATTGGTCATGAAAGAGTGACTGTGGAAGTGACAACAAATGCCCCCAGTGCATGGGTGTCTACAGAAGCTTCCTACTTTCATCAAAATGATTTGAATAGAATTACACCACCTCTTTGGGGTGTGTATGCAACATCACAGCATAAATACAAAAGGGGTGGGTCTTGTACTGCAATGGCATGACACTCAGCTGAGCATTTGGACAAAATATTAAATATAAAGGAAAAGCAGCTGGGGAATTAGCTAGACCACCACTTAAAAGAAAGAAGAAATTCAGAGTCAGGAAAAAGAAACAGAGAGCCAAAGCCATTGTAATCTTAAACAGGCCAGTGTTTTGCCATTAGGTTAGAGCAGTGTTTCTCAACCTGGTGGCTGGAGAATTCTGGGAGTTGAAGTCCACACATCTTGAAGTTGCTCAGGTTGAGAAACACTGGGTTAGAGAACAGACAGGATCCCAACATAGCAAGCTGAATCCTGAACAGCAGGGTTCCTCAACCTTGGCGACTTGAATATGCTGGCTGGGGACTTCTGGGAGTTGTGGTCCACATATCTTCAAGTTGCCAAGGTTGAGGAACCCTGCTGAAAAGCATATACTGTTCAGAGGAATGTCTCTTGAGACAGTGGTTACAAGGAGAAACAATTGCTGTTTCCCTATTCTTTTACAATTATTTTTGTGAAGAAGCTAACTGGCTTTGCCAGAAGCCTGTGTCAATGCTAGCTTCCTTGGGTTCTGAGTATAACTGAAGTGGAAGAAAACAATTTGACTTAGGGTGAGGAATTTACTGGAAAAAGCCATGGAAATTTAGGGAGGGGAATTCACCTTAAGTAAAAATTAATATATATCCAACCAGATTTTTCTCTTTTCTCTTTCAGCCCTATTATAGAATTTTTGGTGGTGGTTGCCACAAAAAATTCACTTTACTTCTCTGTGGTTCTTTTATTACTTTTTATTACCAATGAAGTTATCTTATTTTTTTAAAAAACAAAATTGTCTCTAATTATACCACTGTTATCCCTAAGCCCACTATAATGCAGTCCCAAGCATTTTGGGTTTCTGTTCCTGACAGAAGACATGGCAGCAAGGAATATGAGGACATATTTGAGGACATAGATGAATTATCCACAAACCTGATCTTGAGTACTCAAACAGCTTTCTTAATTCTAACTGGACTTGTGATATTTAATGTTTATTTATAAATTAATTTGAATTACTTTTTTGTATGTGCTTACGGAATTTATACTTCCTCAATGAATGAAGAAACTTTTCATTTCCATATTTCTCATTTGAGACCATTTATTGAAAGTAGATACATTACTCAATGAAGAAATTAGGAACAGTGTGTGTGTACTGAAAAATCCTATATCAAAAGCATATATTAGAGATAATTGCTTGTAAAAAATTGAGTAAATTAAGAAAAATTGCATATGAAAATTTTTATCCAATCTAAGAGAGAGTGAGAGAATATCACCAGTAGATATTTTTTAAAAGAATAGAATTAATATATTCTTTGGGGGGGGAAAGCGAATATTATATTAATCAAAACAGAACATTTCTTTACAAATTGCAAGGGAGACAGAAACCTCATAAAATCATGCTGAATTAATCCATGACATCATTTCTTATTCTAAGATATGAAATGCTCTTTATTTAGTCAGTGACCGGCAAAATTTGAAAATATACAAGCACAAAAGTAAAATCAAATGGATGAGATAAAATGCTAGCATAACAAAGAGTCACTATAATAAAAATGTAACAACACTACTATAATGGTGTGTTAATTACCTGTGCAAGTGTAAATCTAAAATATTACAATCTATGAAGTAAAATATATTTTTGTTAAGACTCCTAATTGATTTGTGAATTTTATATGGCATCCAGTAGGAAAGTTCAATTAACTGAACCATTATCTATAAGAATTAATCATAATTAATTTTAACTTATATTAGGTATAAATTATATTATATACACATTAATTATAAGAAAGCCAGACCTTCAATCTATATTCTGCCTATATTCTGGCCTGTAAGCATAGATAAATTTTGTCTATTTCTTTTGATTATGCCTGTTTAGTTGAACCATCCTGTTTTCTGCATCGATCTGCAAATTATTATATAAATGTACACACAATTTCTTGTTTAAATAAGAAATTCATTCAAATGTTAAATACATTCTCTTTTAAACACTTTTGATTTATGTCATTTCAAGAGCTATATGCAGCATTCGGAGGAGCATGAATCTTTAATAACCAACTTCCTCAAGCTACTCCATTATATTTGAGAAGGTGACGGGATTGTTAAGCACTGAACCAGGCCAATGTACGTGACAGTTGGGCTGATTTTTGGACTTTCTTGGTTAAGTTGTACAGGCTTGCAAGATAGTGTGAGAACTTGGGAGATATAGGTATAAGATAAAATAGTGACCCTAAATGAGATAAGGAAAAAGCTTTACCAACAATGATTTTGTTTCCCCCATGAAATATGCTATGAATCCGAAATCAGAATTCAATGTAATCTTGAATAGTCTTTCTTCTCTTATTCCACCATAGTATAATTGACTATGGTTAGGTGATTATGCTACAGTGGAATAAGAGAAGGAAGACTATTCCATTGACCTTGCTTTGAGATAAGTTTCTGGTTCCTATTGTCCCTAGTAATACCTGTTCCATCATGCTATCCAAATTGTTGCCATACCAATTAGTTTTATAACTTTACTCTAGTGGCCAAATTTGTTCTTGTTTTTCCCTCCTCTTTCCCCATCTCTTCTTTTTGTGCTGTGGTTCAATATCTGAGGACAAGAAATAACATAACTGACTTGATCAGGGCTAAAACATTATTTTAATGAAATTCAGTCCCTGAGCCCATTTTGAATTGACTAGACTCCATCAGAGCAGTGCTAAGATTCCTTTCATCCCTATATGCTCATTTGGTATCCTCCAGCTATGTGGATTACAATTCTCACCATCCACAGATAGTTCAAACAGTTCTCGTGGTATCTGGGAACTGTGACAGCTATAGTCTAACTCATTTGGAAAGCAGAAGGTTGGTGAAGGTAAGACTACTTTATCTTGCCAGAAGACCATATCGGGATAGTGTATCTTGCAACATCTACTAGCTTCCTCCTAAAAACACTTGTTTTCAGAAACTGAAGCTACCTATGGAAATTGAGCCTATCTATTAGGAAACAAGATTTGTTGATTCATCCCTAATTTTTTAACAACATTCAGAGAGAGAAGCCAGGGCATGGGGACTCCATCCATCCAGTAGAAAGAGCCACACAATGTTGCCAGAGATGCTGTGATCTGGAGAGTATTGGAGTGATATCAAAGAAGCAAAGAGCCCTTCAAACAATCCCAGTTGGACCAGACAGCAAATTGGTTTCTAATCTTGCTTCCTGATTAATCCTTTTAATCTTTACATCCTCGTTGTCTTCTTTGATTCAGGGAAAACTGCCATAACCTAGTTCTTACCAGGCAGGAAAATGGAGAAATAACACTCATGGAATCACACACTTCTCTTAATTAGATCACACTAGTAATGCACTAATGGTATACAGCATGTCAAGTCCGATTTCTTGTGGGATTTTTCTTAAACATCTTTACGTAGATGAGGGAGATTCTATACCCTTTGAAAAACATGCCTCCAGTAGAAATTAACAGAACAAAAAAGACATTATTTTATTCCCAATAGAGCACTAAATGGAAATCAAAGCAGTTGAAAAGCAGACTTGGTAGGGGTGAGGAAATAAGAAACCATAGATATGGAAAAGATAGCATTCCTTCTTCTTGTGATAGTTGTAGCTTTTTCGCATTTTCTCCCCTTTCCTATTCTCTAACAAGCTTGCTGTCAAACTGAGATGAATTGTATAGCAAGAGTTACAATAATTGCTATTTGCCTGGGGAAGAAGGGAAGGGTTGTATTATCTTCCATCTGATTTGAATGTGACACTTTTGGTAATGATACAACGTAGGACTCCTGTTAAAGCACAGGTGAGGTTGACATCAGCTCTCTACCTCCTCCTCCTCCTCACCTCCCTGTTAATGTTTAACAATGTAGAATGTATGGCATGAAGGCATCCCAGGGCAAATTTCCACCTTATTTAGCTGCTGTTCATAGAGACAGAAGCTTGCAACCTGATGTTACATCTAGTCCTGCACCAAAAATATCTTTGGCAATTTTTGTTACCCATTCTCGTTCATTTTAATGGAAAAGAAATGTATTTCTTTAAAGAGAAAGAGAGAGAGAAAGGAGGAGGAAAAGGAAGAGCTTAAAGTTCTCCAGAGAGTGACATTCATGCACTTGCCTTAACTGTGACCTGGTTGATGGTGTGGATAAGCATCAGCTCACAGGTATTCTGCACCATCCATGGTTTCCCACACTTCATTTATAATCCTATGGAAAACATCATCCAGAAACTTTTCATGCTGGGCTTTTCAGATGTGGATGTTGAGGAAGGCAGCAAAATGATGAGATGAACATTAGAAAAATGACCAAGAGCTGTACCTTTCATCACGTTGCACTAAAAGTCACAAAAACAACCATGTTAAAGTGTCTTGCGAAAAATGGTATAAAAACCAGCAGACTTTTTTTCTGATCTCAAGGCCACAAGAATAATTTGGCCCAGGATAAATCACCCTATTTATTGTGTGATACTGGATGTTAGTAAAACAGAGAAAAAGAAGAGGAGGCTACTGCTTTGCTGGCAACTACATATGAGCTATGATGTTTTAGGCCATTCCCCAGAACGAACATACATACATACATGCATATATTTATTAATTTATTTATTTATTTCCTGCATTTTTACAAGAAATGCTCAGTGACGTTTCTGAACTATGATGATAATGAGAACAACAGTAACTTAATCCTGTTTTTCAGACAACACAGCTGGAATTGTAGCTGGCAGAAGTGGTTACAGCCGTCGTCAGCAAGAGTTGTATCTCCTTCCAATTGTCATTGAAGATAGTAGTTATCCCAAACAAAGCAGTACAAACACAATGACAATCCGAGTTTGCAGATGTGACTCTGATGGCACCATCCTCTCATGCAATGCTGAAGCAATCTTCTTGCCTGTTGGACTCAGCACGGGAGCCTTGATTGCAATCTTGTTGTGCATTGTTATACTCCTAGGTTAGTACTCACCTTTTTGCATAAAATAAATTGGGTTATCATAGATCTTTGGCAGACTTTTCTCCCAGATTGAAAAACTGTCCAATGGGCCAAATGGAAAAGTTATCTTGATACAAAAAGGCCAACTGCTTCCCACTCATCTCCAGTTGTGCTGGGAAACTTCATCAAGCCAGGCCCTGTCCACTGGTTTGAATGTAGCCCTGTTTTGAAATCTGGGAATACTGCAATGGGAAACTTGATAAGTTCTTTCAAATCTTATTGAAACATTATAGAGGTGAATAATACACATACAGTATGATAATCCCATGGAATGATAAAGTCTTATCTTGAAAGGTCTTGCTTGACTAAATTTTACTTTCAATAAACAATAAGGAAGATTAATACAGTACATGTAACTGACCATTATGAATAGCAACTCTGTGCTATCGTGATTGCTCTACAGCAATACATGTAAAGAAATTCTCAATGTAAACATCCATCATCAAGGAAAGACACCAAATTACCCTGAATAACTTTCTTTTTTTCTTTTTATAATATATATAATATAATATAATATAATATAATATAATATAATATAATATAATATAATATAA